GATGGTCCTCCGAATCCTCCAGCTGGGCCTCCGAACCCACCTGATGAACCGCCGAAACCTCCTGCCTGAGCATAACCACCAGATCCGCCGAATGATGGAGCTCCACCGTATGAAGAGGGAGCTTGAGCGTATCCACCGGATGAGCCTCCACAAGCTGAGACGCCACCGCATGGAGCTGGTGGAGGTGGTGGAGGAGGAGCAGCACATCCACATGGAGGAGGTGGTGGAGGACAGCCACAGCTGCTGCCGCCACCGAAGAAGGATGCCTCAGTGGCAGAGAAAACAGCAAGGGCAACTACGGCGTACTTGTACATTCTAGAAAAAGAATGGTTATGAAACTGAATGCTTATGAGAAAAAGAATTTGTAGAAACCAAAAGTAACGGAATCAAAACAATTTTTGAGTTCCCAAAGCAGAAATAAAGGAAATTTTAGCTGGTAATAAAATGAATGAGAAGCTGAGCTGTTGTGCCATAGCTAGCCAATGACCGCTTTTATATTCAAGCTTCCTATGCTATGCAACAGGTTTACCCGCACAAATGGCTAGGTCGAATACAAGATTTGCCGATTCAAAACGGGACTTGCGATAAGGGATTTTGATCGGCGTGCTTAAAAATTTCGCGCGAGAACCTGAATGAAAAGGCGTGCGGCTGTGTTGGCAGCCAGCTGCGCGCAGCTGTAAATACAGAATCACAACATCTTCATTAGCGGTCGTAGTTCACCCATGTGGAAGCAAAAACATAAGCATAAGCGCAGAGTTTTCTAATTTTCATTGAGGTGAACCAATAATCTACATATAGCCTTCCTTGATGCGGTTGCTGTTGCATTTATAATCGCTGAGAAAACAACAAATTATCATTTTGTCTATGATCATCTAAATAAATGATAATTCGTAGTATCATTTTTTCTATCATTACAGTATTTTGCTGACCCTTTTAACTCTATTTTTTCACGTCGCTTCATACTGTGATTTTGTAACTTGTTAGTGAAGCACTGCTTTACGTTTTAGATTGGCTCGATTTTTGCGTATCGAACGAGATTCTGTATCTTTTCTATCCTGATCCTAAATTATTTTGCATACAGTGGAATTTGCGGTTATAGTAATGACTTACGATCAGAAGCAACAGAATTTATGAACAAAAAACACGAGTAAAATGACAACCGACATGATTCAACATTTTAGAAGAAGTCGCAGTTTTTGGATAAGCTCAAAATCAGATTTCTGGCCTTGACATGTGTTTTCCAAATTAATTTTTGATTAGGATTTCCCTGTGAATAGACTATTTTCACAAAGAAATCCACAGGGAAGATTTTCACTAAGCTTTTGTTTTGCGTGTCCATGGGAGATCAAATGCTGCTAAGAAAACTGAATACTATACCCACACCTTTTCTTGGAGCTAGGTTTGGACATTTCAATATTTTAAAGCAAATTCAAAATTGTGAAATTTGAAGTGTCGTTTTTAGAAGCTCTACTTCCCACTTCTAATTAGGGGCGGATGCTGTTTAAACTAGTATCGTAATCCGTAAACCTTCTTCTCTGTTTTGAATGCAAAAACAAAAAAAAA